TCTGAGACAGAGACTAAGGGGGACCTTATTTTCGGGGGGATGCCTTATATTTCACTCAGAAGGAAACCTGTAAGTAGGTCTTATTTTCGGAGGATGTTTTATTTTTGGGGAAACATGGTAGCAAGTTCCACATAGCTAAGGCTTACCCCTTGCCAGGTGCCCTTCTGAGGACTCCTGGGGCATCTCAGCCTTCTGAAAAACCACGTGAGGTGGGACTGTAATCAACATCTTCTTCACCAGCTGAAAAAGAGGCGGGGTCAAGCTTCTAATCATAGTCCATCTCCTGGGATATCCTCTTTTATTCTTTAAATGTTTATTTACTTATTATTTATTTGTTTTTACTTTTTATTGAATTTATTGGGGGTGACATTGGTTAATAAAATTATATAGGTTTCAGGTGTACAATTCTATAATACATTATCTGTATGTTGTATTGTGTGTTCAGCACCCTAAGCCAACTCTCCTTCCATCCCCTTTATCTCCTCTTTATCCTCTGCTACCTTTCCCCACCCCCTTTTCCCCTAGTAATCACTATACTCTCATCTGTGCTGCTGAGGTGTTTTTTATTTTATTTTATTTTTTTTTGCTTAATGCTTTTACCTTTTTTACGCAGCTCTCCAACTCCTCTCCACTTGGACAGCTGTCAGTCTGTTCTCTGTATCTATCCATCTATTTTTATTTAATTTTTGTTAGCCCATTTAATCCAATTACTGCGATGCATGGAAAGCATTTACCCCTTTAGAAAAAAGATAAGGCAAAGTCCACTGGCCTTGGCCAAGAATAGCAATCTAAAATAAATTAATTAATGCAAATTGCTGTGGCTGTGGTTGGCACGTTGCTTTGAAGGAATGCAGTACAAGTAACACTTTAACTCCGGAGGGCTCTTGTACCTTTGTCCCCAGAAGAAAGAACACTTGATGAATGTGTTCAGCACTTAGATGGCTGTTATTCAGGTTTTTTAAGTTGTACCTTTGACCTTAGATATTCCAAAACTGGAATAAATGCACGTTTTGTTCTTGAGGGATTTGAAACTATTTCCCTGGTTTACATAACTTTTAGATATAGCCAGTTGGATTAATTTTTAAAAGACCTTTACTTCATTGTTAACACATTTTTATAACAGTTTCAAGGCTCGAATGACACTGCTAACGTTACAGCTCTTTGATCTTTCCCTATGTAGACGTTTGTACTCCAGATACCACTGCTTGGACATTGGTTATTTGTAGATAACAGCACTTCTTGTGGCCACCTGTGGCTCTAGCTGTTTTTAGGTGATGAAGAAATGAGTTAGGGTAGGAGTATTAGATTAGAAGGCTACAGCGTATGGGATTAGGACTACTTACAAAGCCACGAAAATGATCTCTGTGCTTTAATGTTCTTTGGTGTGAAATTGGAAAAATCATACTAGCTTCCTGAGGTCCGTGTAAGACATAGACACGGTGGTGGAGAATGAGAGCTTTAAGATCAGGATAGTGAGGTTCAAATCCTGATTGCATTTCAGTTGGGCAGACGCCTTAACCTCCCAGAGTGTTGGTTTTCTCCTCCTTAAAGTGAGGATGATACTAATGTCGTCCACCTCATGCTGTGGTCAGACAGATCATTTGGCATGCTGAGCACTGTTGGCAGATAATGTGTCATTGTCCCTCACATCTCTGCATGTCTTCTGAGCAGAGGCAGGCACTGACTGCCTTTTGTTCTGAACAATCTTTTCAAGAATATTTGTGTAGAGAGTAGCTTTGAAAGGTAGAGGTATGTCCTCCTCCAGAGCAAAGGGTAGGCTTGCTTACTGCCCAGTGCAATAAGGATAACCTCTCCCTTTAGAGCTATGAGTAATAAATTGTCTTTCATCTCTGAACAGGTGTCTTGTGTCTTCTGCCAACTTCTAAGAAATTGGGGAACTTGGGATAAGTTGGTCACTCTAGACCTTTTACAATTCTTGACAAATACAGTCTTTGCAACAGAGGATGCAATCAATAACTGTCAACTGGTATTGTTATCTTATAAAGAAAAAGTCTTGGACAGCAGGTGCTTTGAAAGTATAAAGTATTCTACACCTATTATTACATGACAGGATGAATTTGATGTTTGTTGGCAGGTTGAATAGAATTCAAATCAATATTAGGGAAATGGTCATAGATTCAGAGGACTAATTGTAAGAGAAAGAAGTCTAAGGTAATTGACCAGGAAAGAAAAGGAATTGTTAAGATGGTTGAAAAAACACACACAGTAAATGCTTATCAATGCTGGCAGAAAATAACGATGTCATGACGTGCTATCATAATAAAAACTAGATGCCCAATGCACGAAATTCATGCAAGAGCAGGCCTTCCTTCCCCCGGCTGCCAGCACCGGCTTCCCTCTGGCACCTGGGACCGTGGCTGCCCTTGCAGCTCTGACTTCGTCCAGAAGGTCATCCAGAAGGATGTCCAGTCTAATTAGCATATTATGCTTTTTTAAATTATAGATAGGCATAAATAGGAATCTAGAATTTATAGTGAACAGTTAAATCTTCCACCATGGTTAGAATTTTTTAAAATTGCAATTCTGTCATTTCTCCTTAGGAATCATTGTATAATCCACTCCATTAGTAAAAAGTCACAACCTCAAATCTTCCAGAGATAAATCCTTTCAACCTGGGGCTTTGTGGGAGGCTGCTATGGGACACACCCTTAAGATCCTTAGAGAGACTTTGTCTGACTGCAGGCTCTGAAGCACCATCTCAGATCCCTCTGAGACCTTAGCAAATGCTATTATGGTCCCAACCACACTGGATTAATTTTCACTCTGAAGCTCTTTTTTAATTTGAAAATTTTGGAGAGGCTCAGCATAAAAAAAAAAAAAGTTTTATTATTTTTTTATTTTTCAATTATAGTTCACATTCAATATTATTTTGTATTAGTTTCAGGTGTACAGCATAAGACTTAGACAATTCTATACTTTACATAGTAATCCCCCCAATATTTCAAGTACCCACCTGGCACCATAGGTATTTATTATAATATTATTGAGTATATTCCCTATGCTGTACTTTACATCCCATAACTATTCTGTAACTACTAATTTGTTCTTCCTAATGCCTTCACAGTCTTCACCCAGCCCTCCAAATCCCCTCCAATCTGGCAGCTATCAGTCTGATGTCTGTATCTATAAGTCTGCTTTTATTTTGTTTATTTTGCTCTTTAGATTCCACATATAAGTGAAATCATATGGTATTTGTTTTTCTCTATCTGACTATGTCACTTAGCGGTACCCTTTAGGCCCATCCATGTTGCCACATATATTGGATTTCATCCTTTTTATGGTTGGTTAATATTCCAATGTATGCAGATACCACAGCCTTTTTATCCAATGGTCTATTGATGGACACTTGAGTTGCTTCCTTACCTTGGCTATTGTAAATAATGGGGTGCACATATTCTTTTCAATTAGTATTTTAGGTTTTTTCAGATATATATATATATACACAGAAGTGGAATTCCTGGGTCATAAGGCAGTTCTGTTTTTAATTTTTTGAGGAACCTCCGTACTGAAACAATTTTATTATGGACCCAGCAGGTTTTGGTTCTTTTATATCTATATTAGCTTTTATATATAAAAATATTTTATATTTACACTTCATATCTTCTTTTAGCTGATGTCTCTTTATAGTTTATTATGAGCAGCAAGAAGATACCAGGCAGCACTCAGTGTGGAAATGTCCTTAGCTAGAACTTTTATTTATTGAGTATGTTTCCTACATTTCCTGTTAAACACAGGTGACAGTGTTGCTAAACTTTGCCACTCCATACCAAGGGTCTCCTTCCCTTAGTTTCCAGTAGCATTTTCCTCACTCTTCTTTAAGCTCACACTGACAGCCTTTTGGAAGGCCAGCACATCTCGGCTAATAACTCTGACAGTGGAGGCAGATCCTGAAGGCACTTGCAACAGGAGGTTGTCAACCAACTTTGTTCCTGGTGGCTGATTCTCTCCAGAAGGGGAATTTGGGCAATATATCTTCATGGCTACAACAGATGAAATTCATGCCAACCCATGTTCTAACCTCTACCAATCTTTCCAGTCTTATCTCTGACATTGTCTGCATCTCACTCAATGCTTTTGCTGCACCGAAGTTGTGCTACCTTAATATGCCTTCAGATCACACACAATCATGATGTAGTGCAGGCTGAGTTAGGTGCCTCTTAGCATCCTATAATACTTATTCTATATAATAAAAAGGTAATATGCAAATTGACCTTAATTGCAGAACTATTGGGAACGACCGATTGCTATGACATGCACTGACCACCAGGGGCAGACGCTCAACACAGGAGCTGTCCCCGGTGGTCAGTGCACTCCCACAGGGGGAGCTCTGTTAAGCCACAAGCCAGGTGGAGTGCAGCAGTGGTGGTGGGAGCCTCTCCTGCCTCTTCTGCAGTGCTAAGGATGTCCGACTGCCACTGGACTGTGAGAGGATGCAGGCTGGGCTGAGAGATGCCCTCCCTCCTGCCCTAAGTGCACGAATTTTCATGCATTGGGCCTCTAGTAATAATATAAGTACTTTCATAGCACCCTAGAAGAATCTCTATCACTTTCTTTATGACATTCTGTGTTACTAGGATTCAAATCTTGGCTCTGACGCTAATTAGCTATGTGACCTTGGTCAAACTATTGGTTTTCCTGTGTCTTAGCTTCTTCATCTTGACAGGGCGAATAACAAATACTGTCTTCTATATAGGGTTGTTAGGATTAAATGAGAAAATACTAGTAAGTGCTTAGAACAAAGTACAGAGTAAGTGCTCAATGACTATTAGCTATGACCCTTCATGATCTGAACTGAGAGGATTTACTCATTCACGTGACTGGATCCAGGGCAAAAGTGATAGAAAGGTGACTCCACTTCATCCCTGAGTGCACTTCTGTTTTTAGGGAGACCATGCAGACACCTGCTTCTCCAAGAGACTGTGATGTAAACTAAAGCCATCAGAATAACCTTTATCAGCCTTTTCCTCCTTCTGGGTTAGGTCTGCAGGATAACCCGTGGTTCTGTGACTGTCACATTTCCAAAATGATTGAGATATCCAAAGTTGCTGATCCTGCCATAGTACTTCTTGATCCACTGATGGTCTGCAGTGAGCCCGAGCACCTGACAGGGATTTTATTTCAGCGGGCTGAGCTGGATCAGTGTGTGAAGCCATCGGTGATGACCTCGGCCACCCGAATCACGTCTACTCTGGGCAGTAATGTCCTGCTGCGGTGTGATGGCACTGGCTACCCCACCCCGCAACTCACATGGACCAGATCTGACCACTCGCCTGTTAATTACACAGGTATTTTTTTTTTTTTTAAATTTGGGTGCCATGTTGAAACAAAGTTTTCAAAGATCTATATTTAATCTCAGTTTGGGGAATATTTGTAATCTGCTTGTTAATTCTAATAAAATATGCCAAGAGTGTTAGGAAAAAGGGGTTTGAAAGTTCATTTTCTTAGTTAATATTTTCCTTAGTTGGTATCTGACTAACTACATAGATGAAATTAAAGAATTTAAAATATATTTTATTGATTTTTCACAGAGAGGAAGGGAGAGAGATAGAGAAGCTAGAAACATCGATGAGAGAGAAACATCGACCAGCTGCCTCCTGCACACCCCCCACCGGGGATGTGCCCACAACCAACGTACATGCCCTTGACCAAATCAAACCTGGGACCCTTCAGTCTGCAGACCGACGCTCTACCGCTGAGCCAAACCGGCTTCGGCAGAAATTAGAGCATTTGATTCTTTTCTTAGAAAACATGATCTACTGCATGAATGACTGCATGGAAGGCCTTTGTCTTGCTGTGTCATCTTGGATATGGCTCACTTTAAAACGTATAATGATTGCAATTTCCTTAGAAGGGATTTTCATATCAGTTTCTCATTTTAAATGATTGTGTAAATAATTACATGCAAACATTATTGTGAATAGAAAAAGTATAACTTTTAGAAATATTGTTTTCATAGACTTTTCAGATCCTACTATGTCCAAGCCAATGCTTTGGCCTCAGTTTCTATAGTGATATTCTGATGAGCAATCTACTCTTAAAACTCTAGAAAGTTAAATTAAATCAAGGTTCAAATAATGAAACTTGGTAAAAAGAAATTCAAGGCTTACTATCCTTACAAATAGATAGTAAATGGTTCATGCCTTGAGGTGTGAGTTAAACTTGGGGCTCTTGGAATACTGCTTAGTGTATTTGTTTTCAGAAAGCTTCAGAAATCAAGACAGAATGAAAATATGTCAGATTTAAGTGTTTAGGAAAGTAAAATTCCAATTTTTCAAAAACTATATATTCTTGGCACAACTATATATTTTTTTCTACAAATAAAAGAACCCATGATTTACTAGTTTATATAAACTAAATATAAAATAAAAGATTGAGAATACAAATGATGACTCCTCCATGCCAGAAAATGATCTGCTATGCCCTCTGTAGATAGATAACATTTTATTACAGTGAAGAAATATTTGTGGAAATATTAAATTAAGGCCTTGTGATAAACATTTTATAGGACAATAGTGAATTAAAATTAGAAGGGATCTTTGAGATCACTTTTTCTTATCCCCTTATTTTAAAAATATAGAAACAAAGGCCTAAAGACACTAATTGACAAGTCTGAAATTACATACTACTTAGTGGACAAAAGTTTACTAAAATCAAGTCTCCCAATTCACAGTCCCATGTCTCTTAAAAATACTATTTTCTGTATAGACTCATGGCACCTGGCATGACCTAGACCATCAACTGCCATTAGGGACTTGCTGTATGCCATTTCCCTCTTGGCTTATGAAAAAGGGACGCATGTAGATCCAAACAATTGCTTCTTTTTTCAATTGCATGTTGCTTTTTCCTCCTCACAGAATTCTATATGTATGTGTGTGTGTGTGTGTGTGTGTATATATATATATAGTTTCCTTTTTTTTTCTTCCAGTAATTCAGGAATCTCCAGGGGAAGGAGTCAGATGGTCGGTAATAAGCTTCACAAACATTTCTTACAAGGATGCTGGGGATTACAAGTGTAAGGCCAAAAATTTGGCTGGGATGTCAGAAGCCCTGGTTACCGTGACAGTGATTGGTGTTGTCACGACCACCATCGCATCAGACAGCTCTGAAAGAAGAAATGGAGATCACCCTAGGCGAGAAGGCCAGCCAGGATCTAGAAAGTCTATATCCACACCTGGTTCATCGCCATCTCCCTGGCCTTCTTCCTCCTCTTCTTCCTCTCCCGCTTCTTCTGCTTTTCTTTCTACTTCTACTTCATCTCCTCCTTCTGCTGCTTCCTTCTCCTTATACCCATTCTCCTCCTCCATGGTTTCTCCAATCACAGCTCTAAGCACTAAAATTTCAACAAGCACCACCCTGGCCAGCCAGCAGTCCCTCCAGCTGCCTCCAGATGGGGAAAGAAATGTAAAGGTGGAGATGGATGGAAGTCAGCGTCCCCCAGCTAGTGCAAGTAGACAAGAAGAGCTGGCGTCATTGGGTCGAACAAGTCCTAGGGAGACGAATACCACGATAGAAAACCTCAGGGCAGTCAGTGAGACCAAGGAGAGTGTGACCTTGATGTGGAACACCATCAACACCGTGCATAACTCAGAGGTGACTGTGCTGTATTCCAAGCACGGGGAGCAAAACCTGCTGCTGCTGGATGCAGACTTCAGCAAGAACCAAGTAACCATTGGCGGCCTGGAGCCTGGGAGGCAGTACATAGCATGCGTCTGTCCAAAAGGGGCACCTCCCCAGAAAGACCAATGTATCACCTTTTCTACCGACAGTGCTGAAGAAGGTCATTCGCAAGAGCCCTTCCTTATGGCGGTGAGCGGCGCCGCCTGCATTGTTGTCTTGCCGTTGATTGTTTTCCTGTTGTATAAAGTTTGCAAACTGCAATGTAAGTCAGAGTCCTTCTGGGAAGAAGATTTGGAAAGAGAGACTTATATCCAGTTTGAAACCCTGTCCCCAAGGTCTCAAAGTAGAGGGGAACTCTGGACACGAAGGCACAGAGATGATCCTGAAAAACTGCTGCTTTGTTCTGGGTCAAGTGTGGAATCTCGGATGACTTTTAAAAGTGAAGAGATCTAGACCAGATTGTTGTTGCCAAGATTATATAGCTCAGGCACACATGAATGCACAAAATATCTTCCAAAAAATGAAGAATTTGAGGGTGTATTTGGCTCTTTGTTTGGATGACTTTTAGACAGATTTTCACATCTTCCATAATAATCACAAGTGGAGTGATTTTGTGTTTTAAAAAACTACCATCAGACCTCTGAACTGAACAATATTTTTATTTTTAAAATAAAATATCTATTGTTGAAAGTATTACTTATATTTCCCTTTCCCCTCCATTGACCCCTTCTAGCCTGCACCCGCCCCCTGCCCCAGACCTTCACCACCTTTTTGTCTGTGCCCTTTGGGTTATGCATATGTGCATACAATGAACAGACAATCTTGATTTTTTTGTGTGTGTGAAAGATGTACATAGAAATAAGCTTTAGAACAGTGCTTATTAACACATTGCAGACGGATTACAAGAATGCTCGTGTTTTCTGTTCTAAGGCTTGTGGGCAATCATATTTTAAAAACATGTAATAAATAACTTCAAAATGCAATGGGCATTTAATTTTAAAGTGTGCCTTTAACATTCAATAGAAACTTATCTGGCCACTGGGGAAAGCTAGCAATAAAACTACTGGTCCACAATGTCTTAAGTTAGACATATGTTTTAGGGTAATGTTTTAGTTGTTAAAAATGAATTCATGAAAAGAAGTTGTAAAAAAGGAAAGCCTGAATTTTTAAAAGATAGATTTGGGGACATTGAGGAAAGATTAGCATGGCCAGCGAGTGGTTCTTGCTGTGGACATTTGATGCCATTGCCTCGAAGGCCAGAGTGGAATAGTACAGAACTTTTCATTGACTAAGGCTCAGTCCAACCCAATGGAGAGGGAGGGCTCCAGCTGTTGGTACCATGGTGCATTACTACATTGTATGGTTGTATCCATAACCCAAGTAAAACTATTTCCCTTGTCCTTAGAAATACAGGTATTAGCAAATATATGTTTAAAAAGAGGACATGAAAACTAGTAAGATCATTTTAAAAATAGTTACTGTTGCATTCTAATGCATTTGCTAACAGACTGTGTGGGTCTTTTTAAGAGCTCATTTTAAAAACAATTTCTTTAATATTTTGATATTTACTCTTATTTCCCTCCCTCTCTTCTTTCCTCCCTGTCCCTCCTTCTTTTCGCCCCTTCTGCTTTGTCAGAGACATTCAGGTAGTCAAAGGACCACGTCTAAGCTGTTTACATGATGCTTTGTTATATTTTGACCTCTTTGATAAAGAAAAAAACTTCGAAAGTCTTTTTTTTTTTTTTTTTTTTTTTTTTAGATCCAATAAAAGACGTATTAGGATTATGGAAGAGCAGCTTCCATGGATTTATTTGGTCAAATATTCTAGGTTAAAAACATAAGGGAAATTGAATTGGAGTGGGTTACTTGACTAGAAAGAAAAAGGGCTTTAAAAATAAAATTTAGTGTTTTTTTAAAAGTGTTCACCACCTTTACTAAAAATTATATTCCTTTTGCATTGAAGGTTTTGGAGTATAAATCATAAATCTAGAATAGATTTATGAAAGTGTGTCAGGAGACCTTAAATATTCTTTGAAGCAAGTTCTAAGCAAACACTATATATTATGTAAGAAACAGATTTGCTTTTTATTTATTTTTTGATTAATCCTCACTGGAGGATTTTTTCCACTGATTTTAGAGAGAGTGGAAGGAGGTGAGAGGAGGAGAGGAGAGAGAGAAAATCATGATGTGAGACAAACACATCAATTGGTTGCCTCCTGCAAACTAGGTATGTGCCCTTGACTGGAATTGAACCCAGGACCCTTGGGTTTATGGGTCGATGCTTTAACCCAGGGCCAGATTTGCTTCTAAGAAGGATGTTACTTTATTGATTTTAGAGAGAGAGGAAGGGAGAGGGAGAGAGACAGAGAGAAACATAATGTGATGTTTGGCTGCCCTGGGGATCAAATGCATAATCTAGGTAAGTGCCTTAAGTGAGAATTGAACCCATGACCTTTTGGTGTACAAAAGTAGAATTAAGGAGGATTTGGTTTATTGAAAATAGTTCCTGTTCCTAAACACTGGTTTTGACAGAAATTAGTGATATGTGTGCATGTGTGTGTGTGTGTGTGTGTGTGTGTGAGGTGTGTGTGTGTGAGAGGTGTGTGTGTGTGTGTATGCATGTGTGTGTGTATGTGTGTGTGTGTGTGTGTGTGTGTGTATGTGTGTGTGTACACACACACAAAAGGTTATCCCCATGATATCATGGCTGTTATATTCTTACTAGATGCCCAATGCATGAATTTGTGCACAGGAGGGGTCCGACTGGCCCGCCCCAATCGGGGTCAATTGGGCTAGCCAGTTGAGGGGAGGGGCCTCAGGCAGTTGGCCAGCTGGCCCTGTCCTCTGGTCAAATTCCAGGTAGAGGGGACAATTTGCACATTAGCCTTTTATTATATAGGATAATCCACAGCTTGTTTATCAATGTTACCCTATGACTGTGGAGAGCAATCATAACTGGCATATAGCCAATATAGGTGTCAGTTAAATATGATTTTACTTTTAGGCAAAATATTCTTGAGGTTGGTAAAATGTGGGATACATGTGAGGGTGTTTCATAAGGGAGACTTTCGTCTGTGAAGTGCTGTGATGTAAAAAATGGTTGAGAACCCTGAGCTAATAGTTTATGATGGCCAGAGGAGCACACCCTGGGCTTCAGAGTCAGACAAGTGCCCTGGACTTCGAGAAACTTTTATAAAAAGTTCAGGGAAAACAGTTCTTAACCAATGACTTGAGTCTCAGAAAGGGATATGGCTAACAAAGGGAGATTAAAAAACAACCACAACAAAATTTCTAGTTGAATAAATGAGAAATAATTCAAATAAAATGGAAGATAGCTCAGGAAAGTTGAATGGCTGCCTAGTAATCTAAAAATTCATACGTATATGTAAAAAATACAAAGAAGGGAGAGTAACCAAGGTTGAATGTAGAAATTTATTATAAAAGTGTCAAATTATTTAAACTCTCAATAAATTGAGGATAAAGAAAACAAAGTTGACATAGGAACTATAAGGCATGCTTTTTTTTTTTAGTCAAAAAGAAGGAAATGATAAGTGTACTGTTTAGAGCTGATAACAGAAAGCATATTAAAGAAGTAGCAGAATCATTCAACTCCTATTTTTTCCCTTCTCTTTTTTAGATATGTTTTTAAATTGAATATAGAGAAAAACTATAAAAAGTGAGAATTTTAAGCTCCATATAGATGAGAGATTAGTAAACTTACTCTAAGATGTTTAAAACGAGGCCAAATGAATTAGGTAACAGGGTGGTAACAGAGTTTTCATCCATAATCTCAGAGCTACTCTTTAGTAGTCTTTGAAAAGTCTAATTGTGGCAAATAGGAGAGATACCACAAGATCAGAGATGGGTAACTTTTATCTTATTTTTGAAGAGGATAATAGGACAGATTCCAGAAATTATAGAAAACTTAATTGAGGTTTGCAGGTTTGACAACCAATTGTTAAAAGGCTGGTTTTTGAGCATGCAAAAATAAGTGTGATGGTCATTAGCAGCTAACAAATGACAACTAAGGAGAAACTTTGATAAACTAATATAGTTTATATTTTATGAGGTTATTGATTAAAGGACTGTGTGAAAGGCAAACAGCAGCTAGCAATTATTATTTGTCCTGACTTGATGGAGTAATATGGGCTGCCTCCTCTCAATAATGTTATTCTTTGATTTAAAAAATTATTTTTAATTTAAATTTGACATACAATATTATATTAGTTTCAAGTGTACAACATAGTTATTAGGCATATATAACTTAAGAAGTGACCACCTGATAAAACTAGTCATCAGACACTATACATAGTTATAACAATATTACTAACTATAAAATTTACACATATGAATCCCTTTCCCCTTTTAACCCATACTGCTAACACCCCTCCCATCTGTCAACTATCAAAATGTTCTCTGCATCTATGAATTTGTTTCTGTTTTGCATATTTATTTTGTTTTTAGATTCTACAAATAAGTGAAATCATATGGCATTTGTCTTTCTCTGTCCAATCTATTTCACTCAACATAGTACCTTCTAGGTCCATGCATGTTGTTGCAGATGGCAAGATTTCATACTCCTTTATTATGGCAGAGTTGTATTTTATTGTATGCTAGAGGCCTAGTGCACAAAATTCAAGCATGGGGGATGTTCCCTCAGCCTGGCCTGCACCCTCTCCAACCTGGGACCCCTTGGGGGATGTCCGACTGCCAGTTTAGGCCCAGTCCCACACGGGTTCAGGCCTAAACCGGCAGTCAGACATCCCTCTCACAATCCAGGACCACTGGCTTTTAATTGCTCACCTGTCTGCCTGCCTGATTGCCCCTAACCACTCTGCCTGCCTGCCTGATCACCCCTAACCGCTCTCCCCTGCTGGTCTGATTGCTCCTAACTGCCTCTGCCGTGGCCTCCGCCACTGGGGCTTTGTCTAAAAGGATGTCCAGAAGACATCTGGTCTATCCAGTCTACTTAGCATATTACCTTTTATAAATATATATATATGTATATTCATTCTCTGGCCAAGGAAACAAAATAAATAAATAAATAAATAAATAATAAACAAATGGGACTACATCAGGCAAAATGAAAAGACAACCCATTGGATGGCAAAACATATTTGCCAATGATACCTCTGATAAGGGGTTAGTATCCAAATTGTATAAAGAACTTAGAAAACTCAACACTAAAACACACAAACAATCCAATTAAAAAATGGGCAAAGGGCCTGAATAGACACTTCTCCAAAGAGGACATACAGATGGCCAATAGACATATTAAAAGATGTTCAACATTGCTAATCACCAGAGAAATGCAAATTAAAACCACACTGTGATATCACCTTATACCTATCTGAATGGACATCACCAATAAATCAACAAGCAACAAGTGTTGGTGAGAATGTGGAGAAAAGGGAACTCTCATGCACTGTTGGTGGAAACGCAGTCTGGTGCAG